CTCTGCCCCGGCCCACCCCCCCCCCCCTATACTTTTTGACCAGTCCCTTAGCGAAAATGTCGTAGCGGCGAAACAAGTTATCAAATGTTAGAAATTTTATATTTTTGCGATCGAGAAAGGTCTTAATTTCTTCTAATAGAAATGAGTTTGCTGACTTTTCTGGTGTGAAAAAGTGAAATGAAGCTTTCCGGGATGTCTGTTTTTAGAGAATGCGAGATAAACCTCAAAGGTAAATCTCGCCCTTGTTGTTGTCCTTGTCCTCGAATCTAAAGATCTCTTTTAGCTACAAAAACTGTTCTACTTTCTCAACCAAATCCTTGCTTTGTTCTACTGCTTTCCCTTTTTGCAGATTTTCCAGGGAAACTCTGAGAGACAGTTGATCGTAACAAACCGTTTCCGGTCACCAATACGCGCGCGTTTTGTAAGAATGTATCCCAGGACATGGCACGGTCATATTTCCATGAGGGTTGAGCTATATGGCTGCAGCAAAGGTAACCTTTACAACAGATAGTGCTTCTTAAAATTCAGAGTCAATTTAGGGCCCTATTTTGGAAGGCTTCTTGAAATTTAATCTGTAGCTGTTCTCTTAATATTACAGAGATGTTATATGAAGCCTCAGCCGAGTGGGTGTCCTGTGGCACGTTTAGCATAAGAACTTGGAAATGGGGCATAATACTAAGTGAAACCCTTTGAACGACTAGCACCCTGTTTTTTGCGGTTGGGGGGAAGGGCAGCAATACCCCAAGTGGTTTACTCGGAGCTGCCTAAGCCAAAGCCAGATGGGCGTTCTGTGGTTCTTCTGCGACGAGAGCTGGTTTTCATTTGTTATGTTTTTAGGTCACATGTGCAACCGACCGCTTGGTATGATGACCGGTGCCATCAAAAATTCAGCCATCACTGCATCATCAATGTGGGATAAATATCACGCCCCGTTCTTGGCCAGGCTTAAAGCACGACGCATGGGAAAATACATGAGTGCTTGGTCAGCCAGGTAAAGTAGTGGCAGGTTTTGATAATTAAGCCCAACTGGCTTAATTATTATTGAAGTGACGACAAAATGAAACCTTAGGGAATCTAAGTGCCCATAGACATTGGAATCAGCTTAATAGTCATCCCTATTATTTTGGACTTTTGGAAAGATCTTGCCATTTCCAGTTCAAACGGAGAATTTCGAACCGAGAATTCCACAACAAATTGGCTTTCTCCCAACACTGCAGCGCTAACTTAAAGACCATGACTTCGAATTCCGCTGAAGCTTAAGTCCCGAGAAATTTGGCGGACTCAATTTGCAATTGCCTTTACTTGCGATTACAACTGCGACGGACATAAATTCTTCATTTCGATTTGCATTTCCGCAGTTAACATTATCCTCATTCTTTGGTAAATCTTTAAAGTGAGTTGATTTGCGGATACTGATTCACAGAGAAAGCCAGATTTGGTGAAATCGGCAGTATGATTTATTCTGGGTGGAAAAGTGCCCAATCACATTTTAGCTTCTTATTCATCGATTTGGGTTTCTTTGTTGTATTTTCATAGGTACAACAATCGTTATCAATTTCTACAAATCGATCTGGGTCGCATATCCAAAATAATCCGTCTTGGCACACAAGGCAGATCAAGAGTTAACCAGTGGGTGAAGTATTACTACCTTTCATCAAGCATTGACGGCATCCACTTTGCTAAGTACAGACAGAACTCCCGAGATAAGGTAAAGAATTAAGGGTGGAATCAACGCTTTATTGATTTTAAGGACTCAAAGGATACCTCCGCCCGCTTAGCTCAATTGGATAAGCGCCGGTCTGCCGAGCAGGAGGTCGCCGGTTCAAACCACGGCCGGACCAACACTCAGGGTCTTAAAGTGACTGTAGAGAATGTGCTGCCTTTGTTGTGACATTTACTGATGGTTAGACATTCTAGTCTTCAGGGATAAGGAGGTCGAAAAACCTTAGGCCCCGTCTCACAGCTCTTTCACTGTTCTGATTTTTGTGGGACGTAAAAGAACCCTCACGGCTGTTCGTAAAGAGTAGCGGTCGTAGACCCAGGTGGTGTGTTTCAACCTTTCATGGATTGGGTGGGTAATGAAGGGAAAGATATCAGTTGGGACGCAAGTCCTGTTTCATCCCCTGTCATGGTGTTGAGACACCGTGGCGAATTTCAATAAAACTTTCTATTTGTCAGAACTGACTGGCCAGACCTGTCCAGTTGTAAAGAGAATACCGCCATTAATCACGACTATCAAGCCAAATCAGTCTATTCTTAAATCGTACACTGCTAGTGGTAGGTCTAAGGGAACATTTGGAGAAAAGACTAACATTTTACATTCAAAGTAACTGGTCCGACCAACCAGTTCTGACTTCTGGTAAGCGCTTTTCGCTATTTATCGGTGATTAACATCTTGAGTTGATTGTTAATTGAGGCAGGGTGATACTAAGGAGACGTGGCAATGGAGGATAGGCTAATGGACTTGAATCACATCATAAAAAAGTCAATTAGGATGCGTTCGTAGAATTCGAGAAGTTATTACAATATTGTCCGAAACAACTTCAAGAGGTATCCCAAAGGAAATACTATTTTTATGTATGGTATACTTTTTGTTAGGAAAGCTGTAGCAAGAAAAGGGGATTGAAAACCGGCCGAGAAAAATATAGGACTCTTTCTTAGCTTTAGTTCATGATCAAGAAAATGTTATTGTTAAGTGATTTATCATCTTGTTGGTGTGATCTTAACCTATGCCTTTGAAACAGCTATTTATTCTCTTATCGCACTGTTTCTACCATTTTGCAGTATTTCCGTGGCAACCGTGACCGGAACACCATCGTATACAACTCCATCATCCCATCCATCCGTGCCCGATTCCTGAGGATTCACCCTTGGAGCTGGCATGGTCACGTGTCCATGAGAGTCGAAGTGTTTGGCTGTTCCCTTGGTAGGTGTTTAGTCCTTGTAGTAGGTTAATAAACTATGTTTACATTAGATCGTTTATCCAAACAGTTATGGAAGACCAAGGTTACCTAGGGTAATGCATTCCTTATTCGGAAATGGACCTCCTTTTTAAAGGAGGACCAATTTGGTCCTTTAATACTACCAAGCTTCCTCCAAATAAGAGTAACAGTCCATTAATTGGCCCTTCGCAGCTAGCAATTCACGTGGTACAAAACCGCCATGTTGGAGAGCAAAAGTCGCACTGGGACAAGACAAATAAAAGGCATACATAATTTTAAATGGTAATTTCCTTTGTTTGTCTTGTCCCAGTGGGACTTTTGCTCTCCAGTATGGAGGTTTTATACCACGTGAATAGGCTAGCTGCAAAGGGCCTATAGAATGAATATGTGGACTAACTGGAGGTAGTATGACTTTATTTACCCTAATCTTTATACTGTGCACAGTGCAGAACAGTCAACATTCAAATTGTAATTTGTGGGTCATAGTTTATCGCGGCCATAAAACATTCAGGTTTTATACCACAGTGAGCCAACGAGCAAATACTATAAATTTTATTCAAACAATTATGAAAGACCAGGTTTACCCATTATGATTTATCTCCTCTTCAGTAATGTAGCTTCTTTTTGAAACTCGAGATATTTGGGTCCTTTTATACTACTATGCTTTCTATATAAACGAATTAATACAGTTTAAAAGGAGTGGATTTAAGGATTTATCGAAGTCAGCATAACGTTATTTTACCTTTTAATTGACCTGCCTTTGCAAAGCGCACGATAATCAAAGTGCAAAGTAGGTCGTATTTTGTTGCCATAAAACAGTCTCCGTTGGCCGATGATAACCTTTTAAGAATGATCACGTACTCGTGGCCTCCCTTAAAGGCCCCCAGTGTTGTGTTTTTCTTTCTGTATTAGGAACACCATGAACAGTAGATTTTATTTTATTTTTTCATTCGTAGGTGCCTGCGGTGCTCCACTTGGTTTGGAAGATGGTCGTATTCCTAAACTCGCCATGAGTGCCTCCTCTATGTGGGATACAAGGCACGGTCCTTGGAGGGCACGGCTAAATCAGCTAAACCGCGGAGGCGCTGGGGCCTGGTCTACGCGATACAACAATGTGGCTCAGTGGTTGCATATAGATCTTGGTGAGGTGTCCAAAGTTGTTGCCGTGGCAACACAAGGTCGTTATGACGCTAACCAATGGGTGAAGAAATACAAGATCAGTTACAGTGTTTATGGTCGTAAGTTTACCTTTTACAGCATCAAGAGGAGAGTCCAGGTGAGAGGATGTTTTATTTCAAAGTTGGTGGTATTCTCTTTACCAGTAGCCCGGCAGCAAGCTCTTCGGGGCGCTCTGGCGACGGGGCAGGAAAAGGAAAGGAGAGCTTGCATCTAAGTCTCTGGAATTTGAATATCTGCATCGAAGAAGTCGATGCGAAATGCTGATTGGCGGGGGTGACATTAGTAATGACGTCATTACCCTTGGCACGTGTTTTTAAAATTTGCTTACATTCGTGCTCTTTTCCGCTTCGCCCTGATTGGCGGAAATCTGACAGCTTAGTCGACGGGGAGCCACGGGGGAATTGGAGGTGGAATACATATTCCAGAGATGTAGTTGCACGCTCTCTTTCCTTTTCCCGCCCCGCCGCCAGAGCATCCTGGAGAGAATGCTCGCAGGCTATTTTACCAGTCTCTCTAGTGACACTTAGTGCTGCTACATTTAAGTGTTTCCAAACCTAAAATATGTACTTGAACACCTAATGAGAAACTACCCTGTTACCCTTTGTTTTCAAAGTTCAAGCGATTCAAGCCATGAAAGGTTCAAGCGTTTTGAAAACCTTCCTTAGAAACGACTTGTAAGGAAGGTTTTAAAGTTTTTAAGTTCTCCTCCGTGATTTTACGATTGTGTATATTGGTCTTATCCTGTGGATCGAGGCCGCGACCTCCCGCTTTGCAGACAAGCGTTAGCTCTACCGACAGGGCTACTCCTAGAACGGTTGATTGCGATCGTGATGAATTGTTTATTTTTTCAGATGTTTCCTGGTAACAGTGACCGGAACACAGTCGTGTATAATCGCCTCTATCCCAGTTTCAAAAGCCGCTTTGTTCGTATCTACCCTAAACAATGGCACGGCCATATCTCCATGAGAGTAGAACTCTACGGCTGCAATAGCGGTAGGTAACAAAAAAGACTTGGTGTGGCATTATGACTTCTACGGCCTTGTTCGACTTTGTCTTCAGCAAAGTGCTTATTTATTAACGAGCATTACAAACTGCTTATTTATCCTAAAAAGTGCCAAGGAAACATTGCTCCGTACAATTAGGATAGGTTATGACTAGGTTATAGGTAATCTAAGGATGAAATAACAGTAAGCAAAAGTTGCAGATCAACGGCTGCGTGAATGTTCTGCGTTTATGTTTTGAAAATCGCCAGACGTGCTCGTAAAGCAACATTCAGTTTTAGCTGTGTATGTTCAAATGCTGGTGACGCCCTCGTGCGTAAGTGCGGCTAATTTAGTTTCCGGTGTGTGAGATGGTTAGTTTCCTTACCGTGATGTTCTCGTTCGATGGGTTTTCACCAAGTTCCTCAGGTTTTCGTACTCTTGTAACGACTTAAGTAATGGTCTTCAGCACAAACGCAAATACAATCAATGTATCAAAAAAATAATTATTGGGTTAAAGCAGCCACAGCTTTTTTCACCATATTTATACTTTTAGGTAATTATGGGTGTGATCTTTTAGCTATCTATCGTGGTATTTGGGTATTTGGTTATTTGGCGCGTGATATGACCTTTCATTTGAGGTAAGGGGGCAGGGTTGGGCGGGGGTTGAGATGTCTCTCTGAGTTGGGAAAAAGCTAAATGGCTTGTGGCTATCATTTGTACATATTCTAAGTACATGTGTCTCTTTTTTACCACTGCTAGCCATGTTACGCATGTGTTTCCAAGCGCTTGGAATGGAAACTGGTCGCATACCAAATAGCGCTATCAGAGCTTCTTCGCAATGGGATGGCAACCACAATCCGACAAGAGCTCGACTCAATTCCAAGTAAGTTATCTCAGTGTCTGCCGTGTGACCCATAACCATATGAAATGAAATGAAATGAAATGAAATGAAATGAAATGGAATGGAATGGAATGAAATGAAATGAAATGAAATGAAATGAAATGAAATGAAACAAATAAATTGAGAGAAAGACATCTAGTTATGAAAAGGGCATTAGGAACTTGCTCGAGTCTACTTTGTTAACGAGATGCCCATATAGCCATCTGAAACAAAAGCTATAAACAAAAGTTACTAAAGCACTGGAAATGGCAGTTCAGTTTAGTTCAGGAAAGCACTGTTCAATTTCGTGGTGACACTTAACGAGTTGCCATACTGCTATCTAAAACAAAAGTTACTAAGAGTGCTGGTAATGAAAGTTTAGGGAAGCACTGTTCAATCTCTTGGTGACACTTAAAAAAATCTTCTTGATGGTTTCCTCTTGATCTGTCTTCGGGACACTCATAGCTCACTATTATGCCAAACGTTTGCAAATATGGTACGCTGGGTTCAAGGTTTGGGGTCTGAAATAAAAACAGGGCGTTTGACCGCAAGTAAGTGTCCATCGCACGCTCAAATGGCTTCATTCTAAGGGGATGTCCACACTTGGTGCCTGGGAACCATTGCCAGGGTACAGACACAAAATAGTGTTCACACCTTGAGTGCCCTATACGTAACTGTGTACATAGTTACTCCATTTCGCACTGCCACAAGCCATTTTCAAATATGAGCTTAGCAGCGAGTATAAAGGCAGTTGCCTGTCCTAGAACTAACAGAAAACGTATGCATACATGGAGCCTGTGCCCACTTTTGGTCTCGACCTTTTACTTGGGCACCAGCACCATTACCGAATTCTAGCGTGGGTACTTGAAGAAAGGGTGTGTTCACATAAGCGCTCAGCGAGTACCATACTCGGGCACCGTGTCCGTTGACTAAGTGTAAACGCTGCCTTATAATCGCCTTTGGCACTTGCCATGTAAAGTGAACCGTGTCACGTGAAGCCAGATTTCACGAACTAACAAATTGAATTCTACTTTTGATAGACGTGTTGGCCGCCTTGTTAGTGCCTGGTGCGCAAAGCGTAACAACCGCAACCAATGGTTACAAATCGACCTCAGAGGACCCACGAGAATAACCAAAGTTACCACTCAGGGGAGGGATGACTATAACCAGTTTGTCAAGAGTTATTATCTGTACTACAGCCAAAATGGAAGAACTTTCTTACCTATCAAGGATGGACGAAGGATCAAGGTTTGTGCAAATACTAACTACTAGATACTTCCTTTCAGAGATTTCCTCCTAGTATGCTATAAGTTATTGCCAAATCGGTCCGTTTCTAAAAATACACTTTTACGCCTATTGATCTGTGACAATTTTTTGTTAATTAGAAGTTTAGTTAGAAATTGGTATTATAACTAATTGACGAACAGACCTGTTAAAGTTAACAACTTGGTGTCTGCCAGCTAGTCGCAAACAAAAAAAGCATCAGGTTTTTTTCCAAATCTTTCTCTTTTTACTGGTTTTGCGACGGTCATGAGATTTGCAACACCAAGAGCGTATTTTCCTGCTAACTGGATGTACCTAAGCTGCACTTTTGGTTTTGACGCATGAGTAGATCAACTAAAAGCCTTAACTCCACTCACAACTGCAAAGTAGGGTATCTTATTTTTTTTTATTCCAGCTGTTCCGCGGTAATTTCGACCGCTGGTCGTTAGTAGAGCAGGCAATTAACCCGCCTGTCAACGGACGGTATGTGCGATTTAATCCAAGGTCCTGGTATGGTCATATTTCTATGAGAGTGGAAGTGTTTGGCTGCCGCGCAGGTAAGAAGAAACAAGTTAAGTGAAATCTTGTTGGCGTGGCTTGAGGCTATATTTTGATTTTGCGAACGGAGGCAAACGCGCGCAGATTTTTGTTGGTCAGATAAGAAAGAGGAAAAAGCGCGCGGCTTTTGGCTGGTTCAGTGCGAACACACTGAGCCAAAAAAAAACCCGGATTCATCATTTTCGCTATTTTCGTAATGCTTCTAGCCCCCCCGCCCCACCTCCAAGATAAAAAAATGCCGCAAAAGTATTGCTTTCACTTTCTTAAGAGTCGATTTTAAGACCTAAGGCAAATTAAAATAATACTTTTGCAAAATTTTAGGGTGCAAACAAAGTGCTAAATAGGCGGAGTGAGTTGCTATTGTCCCAAGTTTATACCAAGATTGCTCTGCAAATGGGGTTCTTTTTCTTCACTTCGACAATGTTTCAATTTTTAATTCAGCTTTCAATGTACAGAGACCTACAGGTGTATTTTTCTTTCTTTCTTCTTAAGATTATCCTGAGATTTCTTCTCCTGTTGTTCGCCCTGTGATTAAACGCGGGCGTGGATGTGCAAGGATCGCTCTTCGCTGCTACTTTACCATCCGGGGCCGAAAAAGAAGAGGGACTCTTTCGCGCGTTGAGTGGATTATCAACGGAAGGACGACTAAAATACAAACAGTGCGTGGCACCCAGGTTGAGCTCATCGAAAACACTTACGGATTTAAGGCTGGAACAACGGTTTGTACTATTTAATACTCCCAATGTTTAATTGATTTATTGAAAGAGAATTAATTATTTCACTTACTTTTAGTAAAAGGCGTGAATGACTGATTGATTGATTGATCGATTACTTAATTGATCAAACTTTTCCTTAGGTCACAAAACTCTTTCATGCTTTGACGGATAGAGCAGGTTCGACTTGTTCAAAGATCCGCTATAGTCTCACCCACTATAATCTTGGGTTAACTGTAAACTGTCCAACTGCCAAATCTCTTTTCCTACTAACTGTCAAGACATTAAAATGAAGGACTGTAATGAAATGGGTGACTCTCTAAATGTTTTGCTTTTGTTTTGAACTATTCCAGGTTTCATGCCAAGTCAGGACAAGATACTTGGGTCGACAAGACTGGACAATGAAGTATAGAAGTAAAAGTTTCTTCGCCGGCATTAAGGTCACTAGTTTTGTTAAGTGGTGACTACTGACAGTCGTTAGCTTTGTCATCTTTTCAGAACGGATGGTGGATTTTTGTCTATACTTGAAACACGATATTTTCGACTAGGTCTAAATTTTCGAAATATTGAAACAGATATATATAAAGTCAGACAGATTATTCCTATGCATCGCAGAAAAAAAGACACAAACGCACAAATGCTCGGTCTCGCAAGAATTAGTTGCTGTTCGCCATTTGCGCATTTCCCATAATTCCCCACCCAAAACCCCCCTCCCCCAGCCCCCGCCAATGGCGAACAGGGACTTAGAAGCTTCAACTTTAAAAGATTGTTTACATCCCACAAAAACATTTGACCTTGGCCTTGAGGACATTAAATCCTGAAATATAGAGTTAGTTTTCAGCACGAGCCCACGACGTCTTGAGTTGTCTTAGATAATGTGTGGATAAACATTTTCCACTTGCAGGTTAATCCAAAGTCGTTATCAATGACTGACAGTTCAAGCTGGAAACTAATCAGACTTCGCAGCTTCATCCCGATAAGATCTCACGCGCGTAGAAACAGTGCTGTGGTAATTAACCTTGAAAGGCACGGTCGTTTTGTGACAGACAAATGCTTCATGCGACTGACAGAAAGAAACAGAAGAAATTATGGATTTTATATCAAACCAGTGCGAGATTTCAGGAAGCTGAGACGGCGAAATATTCGCGTGCGGTTCCGTCCGATAAGGAAGACTCCTGGATTCTGTGGATTCTGGAAGGGTTATAGGCTTCCGCCGATCCAGGTAAACTTACACTTTTGATTTTTGATAGAAACAGTCGCAGTCAGTGCCAGTGATAAAGTTTGTCAATGGACTCGCGTTAGCAAAGAAGCCTGTGCGTTTTCGAACGTAGAAGTGAATTGCATACCGCTCGGGAGTGATAGACCTTCAATGCCAAGCACCTGTGCTGCACGTGCGATACACGTGGCACGCTCAACTCTTGCTCAACTCGTGCAGCTGATCCGAATTTGATATTCAAAATCTCTGCCGTTGAACACGTTGTCTGTTTTGCGCTCTCTACTATGTTCATTCTTTCGTTGTTTTCTAGGTTGTAACCTCCAACAGAGGCGTCAAGAAATGTCAGGGAACCGGAGACCCTCATTATCGAACTTTTGATGGAAAGTGA